CAGTATGTTCGTCAGGTGAATCTCATGTCTTTACCACTTTGTTTTGCATAGCATTTACTGCATATTTACCTTGTTATTAACATCAGGTCAATAAATGACCCTTTATTAAAGTTATCCTTTGATTGTGTAATTATCACAATCCGATCAATCAATCACTGGCCACAGAAAGACCCCAACCTGAGTTGAAGCTAGCAGTAAGTAATGTTAATGGCATGCATGGGAAATATGTTAATTAAGTGGCAATCACCCGCTACATACAAGACTTACAATAAATACTTAATTAAATAGCTTTTTACATATCCTTTTAGGTGCCTAAAACCTTAGTGCAATACTGTTTAAGTAACAACCTAGGCCCTTTTTCTACAATTCTTAAGGTGTTTTTTTTTTTTAAGAACTGAGATCAATCACAAAACTCTACGTGGCTGACCACTTTGTTCTTAAGCTTTTTCATCATTTATTAAAGCACAACTGACCTAAACAGCTGAAGGTCATGAATGCTTTCTTTGATCCTCACAAAATGTCCTATACACATGCAAGAGGGTATATTCATTATTCACTAACAACACAGGAATAGAGTGCCTATCTGCACCTATCCAAAACATGTTCAAGGAATATTAAAAGATGTTTACATTCATTTGCACTTTTATATTTATTAACTGCACTATTTGTAAATAGAAACACTACCATCCACATATGTGCAATATCCTCATGTGCAATACCATAGCTACTACATTCTTTTACATGTATATATTTTACTTTATCATTCTAAATTATATAGTCATTCCTTTAATATCTTGCATTTAATATTTTATATTAGCTTATATTTTTGTTTTATTCCTTGTTTAATCTATTTGTTTATGCACCATTAGGATTGCTGCCTGATTTCATTGTATCTTGAATCTTGAATCATCAACTGAACCCTTATACAACACAGGTGACCTCAGCTGGACTCAGGGGGGCACCCACAATATTAGCAGCAAGACTGAGTGATGTAGGGACATTTTTCCCCCATAACTCTTTCAAACACGCTTGAAATTTCTGTTGACCACCAACTATTCCACCAATCTTTACCTTATTGGTGTTAAACATTCAGAGGATTATTTTAGGCAACTTAACTCATGTACAGCCATAGGGGGCAATCTAAGAAGGAAACTTCTACACCCACTTCTCTGAGCAAGTTCCAAACTCTCAAGCTGCTTGTAGGGTGCACTCAAGAAAAGAATGTCTAATGGATTCATCGACAGTCAAATGGAGGCCTTTTCATAAATTCTGACTGCTTGTCATTTTCTTTCTTTGGTTTTGACATTTCCACATAGTTGGCCTTAGGCCTAATTGTGCTGATTCGTGCATGGACCCTGCATAATGCTGCTTTTTTCTGCACTAAAACAAGTTGTACAGACCAAGCCATAAAGCTTACAGACATAAAACTTTGTCAACAGGTAGTATTCCATCCTGCTATTCAGTCACATGAGAAGCCCAATTGGCCTGAACAGCGTGCCACAGCAGGGTGTTTTACATTTTGGGCTCCTAAACCATGAGGTATAACAACGTAATTATGTGTGCTGCATAATTTACTGGCTCATAATAATATAAAATTAATCAAAAACCCCAAATGGCCTCCCTCTGGAAAAAATTATATACATGTGGCAAAAAAATTGCAAAATTGCCAAAGAATTGAATGAAAGAATGCTTTTTAAGATGACCTGATAATTGGTTACTGCGACCGCCACTAGCCAATCAGCTTTCAGGTGGCATTTGACAGGCTTATTAACAGTGACCATCATGGAACTTGAATGGTATGTCTATGTAGGGACCCTTGATTTACCTATGACATTTCAAAAGAACTGAGCACTGAGGGGGCGCTAAACAATGTCTCACATCATTTTACTTAGGGACATGAAAATTAGTTAAAATAATGCAATTTAGAAAGCCTAAAAACTTTAAGATTTCAACAGGTTTTCATAATATGCACTGTATTTTTTCTATCTTCAGTTGTTTGACAACTGAAAGTTTTTTTAAACAAATCTTTTTAAAATTCATCAGTGGCACCTAAAGATGAATAATGATCAAAAACATTACTGCTTGCCCACCACAGTCACCACATATTTGTTAATCATTGTGGCTTTGGCAATTCTGAATTAAACTACAAAAATTAAAAAACAGTGTGTTAATCATCTCAAAATTTAAACCACTTTTATGAACTGAAGTTCAGATGAGCATGCAAAATTTGACTCTGGCCTTCGGAGATTTAAAATGATTAAAAATCCAATTACAATTTGTAACCCACCTAAAGTGAGGATTTATTTTCATTTCATGTTTTTGTACTACACTCAAAATAGAGAGAATAGTTGCAGTTCTTACAATTTCCTGTAGAGAGCTGGTCCAAACCAGTTTTAGAGGACCAAGTGGAATGATAGCGCTCAGCTAACTACATAGCTAAACTTGTCTGTAATGTAATTTGACGCCTAATGTACAAATCTACTGGAGGAATTGAAGATTTTCAGCTGTAAGGTCTTTAGAAATGATAGTGAAGTAATTTGTAAGATGAGTAGAATGTTCAATAAGTAAAGCAATCTTCACTGTACAGAAGCAAACGTTTACTATTCACAGAATTTTCTGTAATGATTCTACATAAGGATTACTTGTAAGCTGAGAAGAAACAGATTTTTTTTTAATGTATTTTTTATGTAGATTGTTTTTTTTTTTCTTGCATTGAGTTTGGACCCTTTCATACACACACACGCGTGCGCCAGACTGTGAGCGAGACCAGAACAGCGAGCCAGGACAACATGTTGAAAGCTGTCTGCCCTGCGTGTTGTTCCTTCACGGACAGGGACAGAACAGGAGAAACAGATACGCTTTTTTTTTCCAAACTGAACTGAGATTCATCTCAAAGAAAACAAAAGAAGCTACATACACGCATATTCACATAAAAGCTGCATAATGGTTTTGAGCTTCAGACTTTATTTCAGAGACAGTGAACCTGAAGTTCTTTTGGGCTCTTTTCTTTTTTTCTGTGTGTAACTTTTTGTTTCCTTGTTTTGTATGTGGTTGGAACCCTATTTTAATTGTTTTGATTTTTAGGGGTCCAAGCACATAGTACCATTTGCTTGCTATTTGCCATTTTTCTTCCAGATCAGAACAAAACAGCAATAACTCATGAATACCTTATCTGATTCTAAAGAAACTTCACAGGATTATGTGATAAATGACTCTAAGGTCATCTATCTGTCAATTTTTGCTACATGTATATCATTTGAGGGCCCTGCAACTTCTAAATAGCTGTTTTTCAGGATCTGTACATTCGATCAAGCTGACATTTTGCCAAGTGCTTCAAGTCTTTGTACTCAAATGTATCTATAAGGATTTGAAAGCTTGAAATTTGTAGCTGACATCAGCCAAACAAATTGTAGCATCCATTTTGACCAGCCTACCTAACCAATCATGATGGAACTTGAATGGTATGTTCATCAAGGGGCTTCAAAAGAATTGGCCACTGGGGTGCACTACGCATGTTTTGAACAATTAAATCAAGTATGCCATTCTCCTTTTAACTTGTGAACAAGAAACTGGGTTCATTCACTTTGTAATTAAAAATGTTTTAGAAAATGTATTGTTCTTTCACTGTTGTTAATTGATCAAAAACAGCACTTTTTGAACCAGTCCAATAATTTTAACCAGACTATTATAAAATTGGCCTTAAAATAATCTGTGGCTTCACTGGTTAAATAATTATCCATTTTTTTATCAAAAGACTTTCACATACCATGATCTCTACAGTGTATCAGTCAAGCACTGCAGCCTTGCCATTCATCACTTTTTCATCATTTGCAAAAACTATAGATTGAGTTTCTGATGAGGCAGAAAATTTTACCTAGTTTTGCCTTCAGGTGGGCGCAATAACATAATGAATTCCTCTAAATCCCAGGAGATTTTAGCCCAAAATCTGTCAAAGACCTTAAACTTGTCTATGGGTGGAACTTTCAGCAAGTTACTGACCTCAAACACACATCAAAATCCCCAAAGAAATAACTGCAGGAACAGAAATTCAAAGTTTGGCAATGGCCCTCTAATACTGCCTATTTGAACCTAATTGAAAATCTGTTGTGTGTATTACAGAAGGCAGTCTACAAGCGAAGATCCAGCAATATCAAAGAACTGGAAATGTTCTGCATGGAGCAGTGGTCCAAAATCCTGCAATTTCCAATTTCGATAGGCATTACACAGAAAGTAGATCAGTTCTCTTATTCTCACTAGGTGAAGCTTCATTAAATATTACTAATGTGGATGCCAATATTTTTAAAACCTGTTTTCCAAAAAAATGTTAGTAAAGAAAAACTTTTTGTTTGAAAAAAAAATATATCACTCACTGCATGTGTTATTTAATATATTGATTTTAGCTCATTTTCATAAAGAATGCCAGTGTGTTTGGAGCTGACTGTAACTGAAGTTCTGATGTAACTGATTGGGCATCTAGTGTCCTACCTTTCAATGATTACAAAATCCAAGACCAGAAACTGGACTGGAATGATTTGCAGACCTCTGCTCTATAATCTGTAATATAGCCACAGGATGTTTTACACAGATCTAACAACACACAAGTCAGACAGACTTCTACGGGAGTATGTACCTCTTGAAGTTCAGAAAATCTGAAGGTTACTGGCTCCCAGTACAGTTACAGCAATTCAGATGATGTGACCCTGTGTTCTGCCTTATCTCTACCTTCATTAATCACCATGGAAACTGAACACATACAAGACCAAAGCAGTTTCTAATATACAATGACTACTGATGTCAGTATAGTGTATATGCATATCAGTCAACAACACACACCCCATGAAGCCCAGTCAACCAAACCTATTTCTTCTCTGCAACAAATAAGGAAATCACATCAGTACAACCAGTTACACTGAAGTGGTTGCTGATCTTGTTGCTGAATGCTGAACAGGGGAAAAGTTACAAAATCTCTCATTCCCTTGTGCCCACTGCATGTACAGTACCTTGAAATGCTTTCAGACAGACTGCTGGATGATAGCAGTGTATCCTTGACCAGTGTGCCCACGTCTTGGTAATCTACTGGTCCGGCCCTTTGCCTACAGTTCTGTGGTTGCTCCTCTGCTTCTTTCTCTTGCTCCAATTTTTCCACCTTTCCTTTTTCTTCACACTCATGATCACTCTCCTCCCCAAGAATATCGTCGACCTGCCCAAGAAAACAGTACGTTTGTAAATCAGAGTTCTGAGCTGCATGAGAATCAAGGCTCAACCGTCTTCAAACAATAACAATGACTTACAAAATTGCTGCTATACATTATAAGGTCATGAGCACGCATGTAAAAGGCACTTGCACTTCTTTTGGTCATTGCGCTATTGTTCACTTCACTTCTTTAAGTGGTAATGCCTACATGTCAGAGCATTCAGAGGCAGTGCGAAAAACACTATGATTTCACCAACAAATAAATTCGGTGAGAACTAATTTGGTCATCAATTTTGGTCAGTTATGTGGGTTGTTTATCACACTCCTAGTTGAGAGTGCTATCTGGGGAACCGGTCCATCATCAAAAGAATTTACTGGGTTACTAGGAGAAAGGCAGAGCAAGAGATTTGATTATGGCCACAGGGGGAACAGAAACAGCTACAAAATAGTTGTTCCCTTAAAATATATTGTTCTTTATTTATTTAATTTTAATTAGTCAACTAACCTGATTCATATGCTTGTGACATAGGCCAATGTTTTTGTGTTTGTATTAATTGTACTCCCTTCTTGTGTAGTAATGGCGCTGGTTGCCATACTATAAATGTGTGCATGGTCTAGCTGTCTAGTTAGTTAAATGTTAGTGAGAGCCCAGGTCGGATGTGTTTGTTTTCCTGGCTAGGTTATGCTGAATATTAGACATCTGCGTATTCATTTTATGTATAAGAGGCAGATAGCAGAACACTAACAGATCTTGACTGAACTACCCTAAATATAGACTGTGAGCCAAATTTCTAACTTTTGAAAGGCTTAAACTACATTTTTTTCACCCCCCTCCATGTTGTGCGAACTATCAGTGGTTCTCGCACTACTACAGGTATGGTTATGTCAGGTTGGGGCCTTAAAGCAGAGGAAAGTTTTTGGAAGATTATAAAATTGCATGTTATTGTGGCCTCAATATCATTCAAAACAGCTGTGAAAATTCAAAACAATTTAACTCCAAAGAACACCACTGCATGCAAAACGTGCAAAGGACATCACAAACATATCACTGCTGTCGGAACAAAACCTTGTGTCTCCAAAATGGTAACTTTACAGTAGAAGGAGAAAAAAACATAATTCCAAGTAATTTTGGGCAGTTTCTTTTGGTCCATTCATCCTAAAATTTGCACACAATGTAAAGGGCAACAAGCATTTTCAAATTGTGTCAAAAACAAACGAAAAAAATGGAGATAGGAGGTTTTGTTCCAACAGCAGCGATATGTTAAATTTATGCTTCCCTAGTTGTCACTATATATGAAGTGAGACTAATAATATCAATCATTTATTTAGAGACATTTAAACATTAACGGGGTCAATTTATAAGTAAGCTCAAAGATGCAGCATGACAAACTTCAGCTTGATATACAGATGCAGAGAACCACAGATTTTTCAAACTTTCTACATAACTAAATGGTTGAGTAAACAAATTAATTAAGAGTAGGTTGATGTGAAATGTTCCATTCTAGAGAAACTTGCAGAGTCAAAACTGTTCAGTCGTGGCGATAGGAACCAGAAGTCTGAAGAGTTTAAAGACTCTAAAAGCTCCCTCACAGAAAGTTATTAAATGAAAAAAGTGGCCTTGCTAATAAATATCAGCTTTTTCATAATTATTGAGGTTCAGTAATTTGATGCTAGTATTATGAGGACTGGATGAAAACCCGAAAAAAGTTTGTAAAAGTACGTTTTGCATAAAAATGCAAAATATCTCGAAACAGGTGCTTGTTCTGAGTTTTTCATTTAACCAATGATAACCAATAACTGTATCACGAGCCTTATCACGCTGCCTCGACTGCGATCTTTTTATCACCCTTCTTTACTGTGATGCTCCTCCTCAACACTGGGTTCACCACTTGCCTCCAGTCCGCTAGGAGGTGATCCCACCTCTGAAACCACTGTGGCGTCAGCATAGAAGATGGTGTGTGAAACACAGCACTTCAAACGAGTGTTCTTTATTAATCTCCAGCATCAGCATACTCTATGTCCATAAACCCCTAGATCTGCATGTCTTATGTAACAGGAAAATCTAATTACCAAAGGCTTGACTACGTAGGTTTTTAGCCTGGACTTCAAAACTAAGGCTGTGTCTGAGTCCCAAACACTGAATGGAAGGCTATTCCAAAGTTGCGGGCCTTTGCATGAAAAGACTCCTCAAAGGAACTTTATTAATTCTAGGCACTATTAGTGAGCCAGCACCTTGTGACCTAAAAAGGTGTGATGGTTCGTTCCTAATGAGAAGTAAGTTCACTCAGGTACTGAGGGGCAAGGCTGTTTAAAGCTTTGTATGTCAGTAGCAGAATTCTATACTCAATGAGGAATTTAACTGCCAACCAATGTAGTGTTGTTAAGACTGGGCAGATGTGGTCAAACTCAAGTTTTTCTCTAGTCCAACATCACGGTACTAAAGGCATGATCTAGCTTTTCTGCATCATAAAGTTAACGGTGCACTTTTAACTTTGCAATATTTCAAAGATGAAGGAAAGCTATTCTAGTAATACTGCTTATATGTGCATCGAAGGACAGATCGGCATCGTTCATGATGCATGATTTTTTTTTTATTTTTTGTTACGCAGATGTACACTATATGGACAAAAGTATTTAATTATTGAGTTCACTTGTTTCAGCCATACACTTTGCTAACAGGTGGATAAATTTAAGCTCATAGCCTTGTAGTCTCGATAGACAAACACTGACAGTAGAATGGGTCATACTGATGAGATCAGTGTCTTTAAACATGGCGCTGTCATAGGATGTCACCTCTGCCAAAAGTCAGTTTGTGAAATGTCTGCTCTGCTAGATCTGCCCCAGTCAACTTTAAGTGCTATTATTGTGAAATGGAAGCATCTAGAAGCAACAACAGCTTGGTCACAAAGCAGTAGACCACACAAACTTACAGAGTGGGGCCAGTAAGTGCTGTAGCGCACAGTGCTATTCCTCTCTTAAATCACTCACTAACGAGTTCTGTATTGCCTTTGGAAGCAACATTAGCAAAAGAACTGCAAGTTATGAGCTTCACAGAATGGGTTTCCATGGCCGAGCAGCTACACATAATCCAAAAAGATCAAAATGCACATTGCCAAGCTTGGGGGGCAGAACGTTATCTGCCTGACTGCATTGTGCCAACTGTAAAATTCGGTGGAGTAGGGATAATGCTATGGGGTTGTTCAGGGGTTGGCCCTTAGTTCTAGTGAAGGGAAATCTTAATGTTTCAGCATAACAAGACATTTTGGACAACTGTATGCTTCCAACTTTGTGGAAACAGTTTGGGGAAGGCCCTTTTCTGTTCCAACATGAATGTGCCCCAGTGCACAAAGCAAGGTCCATAAAGGCATGGTTGGGTGAGTTTGGTGTGGAAGAACTTGACTGGCCTGCATAGAGCCCTGACTTCAACTGCATAGAACACCTTTGGGCTGAACTAGAACAGAGATCCCTCTCATCCAACATTAGTTTCTGACCTCGCAAATGCTCTTCTGGTTGAATAGGCAAAAATTCCCACAGATGCACACCAAAATCTTGTAGAAAGCCTTCCCAGAAGAGTGGAAGCTGTTATAGCTGCAAATGGGAACAAATCTTTCTGTTCATATACATATATATATTTAGATACATTTATGTATATGGATAGATGGATGGATGGATAGATAGATGCTGTGACCGAATGCCTGGATACGTTTTATAGCTTAGATAAAGGCTCCACTAAAAAAATAAATAAATAAAAGAATGCCCCATGGTGCAGTGGTCATGGTCAAGCTTTAAAACAGACTGTCAGACAACTAGAGCGAAATGGTACTGACTAAACTACAAATATTCAAAGTATCTGATTAAAAATAATAAAAATAGTTCTAGGTTATTATTTAGCACAATTCTTAGATGAACTATGAACCAAACAACTATAACACCAGCAGCAGCAATCATTGTTCAATAAGAAAATTTTAGTCATTAGGCAAAAAATTCAAAACACAAAATTAACCACTACCAACCTGCTGCCCTAAGCCAATCCAGATCTTTAGTACAGTGTAGCTACTGCAGAGAGGCTGAAATCCTTTACCTTACTTCAACAAACAGATCTGGTCAAATTATTTTCCCTTGAAAATCTGTTAGCACACTAGATCCAGTTCCTATGAGTTTACTCAGGGAATTTTTTTTTACCAGAAATAACCAAGCCTCTTTTATTAATAATAAACTCTTGTCTTAGCCTTGGCTATATACCAGAAATGTTTAAATTAGCTGTAATCAAACCTTACTGAGAAAGATTATTATTGTTAAGATAATTAACTATTATTAATGATAATAAGAAAGGCCTTATTATTAAGATTAAGAAACCTAATCTAGATCCCTGCTAGCTATCAAATTATAGACCTGTTTCAAATCTTCCCTTTGTGTCAGAGATTCGTTGTGGTGCAACAGTTCCTACTTGCATAATAATCACATACATGAAAAAATTCAGTCTGCACTAAGGCCTCATCATAGTACAGAGATAGCATTAGTGAAAATTGTAAACTCTAATTATTCTCTGACCAAGGAAATGTATCTTTGCTGGTTCTCCTTGATCTTAGAGTAACATTTGATACGATAGACTACGCTATCCTATTAGACAGGCTAGAAAAACTTGTAGGAGTGTCGGGACTAAGTGCGAATTTCTTCTCGCTCAAAGCCCCAACATATGGATGATTAATAATTAACCTGTTCTATAACTATGTTTCAGTTCTTCAATAAATCTAATCACTTGTTCTCGTCATAAACACAAAATAAAATAAAGTTCAGTCAAAAATAAAAGAAAGTTGAATAAAAGACTTTAGCCACTGAGTTATTTTGGTAGGAAGGAAAAGGGCTTCTTCTTTATTGAGCTTCAGGTGGCAAGATGGCTTCCGGACAACCAAATGCAATGAACATCACAAACCATCCATTTTTATATCCTGTTTATCCCTCTTACATTGTCACATATCATCTTAGTCCCCATTATATCCTAATTTTACCATTTCTTTGGAAACCCTTATTTCCAACTGTCCATGACATTAATTTTTTTTAAAACTTTCCCAGCTTGGCTGTACCAAGCCATCCCATTAAACTCTTGCTTTATTAACTGGCTCCAAAACTGACTTTGACTGGTTCCTTATCAGCTTACCTCACTCTTTGAGGGTCAGCTTACCCTTTCAACAATGTTCACTGGCTTCTAGATCCTTCTGAATTTCAGGGACTCTCCAATGCCAAAATCCCCTAACTTACACATAGCAAGGCCTATCCTAGTGTAATAAACTTTGTTAATCAATCTTTTAGGTGCATGATTATAATTTGCTTAGTGATTTAAAATAATAATTCAAGGAAACATTTTTTATTAAAATCCCACAGGAGTAAGAGGAATAGCTTTTTCCTGGGTCAGATCTTACTTAACTGATAGCTATCAGTTTGTGAATGTAAAAAGTGAATTAACTGTTTGAACAAAAGTAAAATATGGTGTTCCAGAAGGCTTTTTAGGATCTCTTTTATTTGTATTATATATCACTGTTGTCGGAAGAAAACCTTGTATCTCCAAAATGATAACTTTACAGGAGAAGGAAAAAACCTACTTTACTTTTAACGTAAGTCAATGGAACCAGATTTTTTTCCAAATCATTTTAGGCTGGTTCTTTAGGTCCATTCTCCATGAAATTTACATACAATGTAAAAGGCATTTTCAGATGATGTCGATAACTGAAAAACGACAAAAATGGATATATGAGGTTTTCTTCCGACAGCAGCGATATGCTACTGTTATCAGTAAACATGGCATCACATGACACACAAATGAATATTTCGGCCAAACCAGATGAAATATCTCAATAAAACTGAGGACTGTGTAAAAGAACTGGATAAGACACTGGATGTCAACTAACTTCCTGGTACTCAGACAAAACAGAGGTTCTTCTTCTTGGTCAAAACTGTCTAATTTAATGCCAAATCTTAATAAATTCTCAGTTGTGTCAGGTACACTAAATGGACAAAAGTACTGGGACACCTACACATTACACCTAAAGAAGCTTTAATGACATTCCATTCTAGATCAATAGGCGTTAATATGAAGGCTCTTCCCATTTGCAGCTATAACAGCTTCCACTCTTCTGGGAAGGCTTTCTACAAGATTTTGGTGTGCATCTGTGGGAATTTTTGCCTATTCAACCAGAAGAGCATTTGCGAGGTCAGACACTAATGTTGGATGAGAGGGATCTCTGTCCTAGTTCAGCCCAAAGGTGTTCTATGCAGTTGAAGTCAGGGCTCTATGCGGGCCAGTCAAGTTCTTCCACACCAAACTCACCCAACCATGCCTTTATGGACCTTGCTTTGTGCACTAGGGCACATTCATGTTGGAACAGAAAAGGGCCTTCCCCAAACTGTTCCCACAAAGTTGGAAGCATACAACTGTCCAAAATATCTTGTTATGCTGAAACATTAAGATTTCCCTTCACTAGAACTAAGGGGCATATGCCAACCCCTGAACAACCCCATAGCATTATCCCTCCTCCACCAAACTTTACAGCTGGCACAATGCAGTCAGGCAGATAATGTTCTGCCAGATAGAGAAGCGTGAATATGGTTTACACCACTCCCCCCCAAGCTTGGCATTGTGCATTTTGATCTTTTTGGATTATGTGTAGCTGCTCGGCCATGGAAACCCATTTTGTGAAGCTCATAACTTGCAGTTCTTTTGCTAATGTTGCTTCTAGAGGCAATTCAGAACTCGTTAGTGAGTGATTTAAGAGAGGAATGGCACTGTGTGCTACAGCACTTACTGGCCCCACTCTGTAAGTTTGTGTGGTCTACTGCTTTGTGACTAAGCTGTTGTTGCTTCTAGATGCTTCCATTTCACAATAATAGCACTTAAAGTTGACAGGGGCAGATTGCCTTGGTGACATAGATGACATCCTATGACAGCGCCATGTTTAAAGACACTGATCTCATCAGTATGACCCATTCTACTGTCAGTGTTTGTCTATCGAGACTACAAGGCTATGAGCTTAAATTTATCCACCTGTTAGCAAAGTGTGTGGCTGAAACAAGTGAACTCAATAATTAATTCTTTTGTCCATATGGTGTACATCTACATAACAAAAAATAAAAAAGTCATGCATCATGAACGATGCCAATCTGTCCTTCGATGCACAAGCAGTATTACTAGAATAGCTTTCCTTCATCTTTGAAATATTGCAAAGTTAAAAGTGCACCGTTAACTTTATGATGCAGAAAAGCTAGATCACGCCTTTAGTACCGTGAAGTTGGATTAGAGAAAAACTTGAAAGTTTGACCACATCTGCCCAGTCTTAACAACACTACATTGGTTGGCAGTTAAATTCCTCACTGAGTATAGAATATGACATACAAAGCTTTAAACAGCCTTGCCCCTCAGTACCTGAGTGAACTTACTTCTCATTAGGAACGAACCATCACACCTTTTTAGGTCACAAGGTGCTGGCTCATTAATAGTGCCTAGAATTAATAAAGTTCCTTTGAGGAGTCTTTTCATGCAAAGGCCCCCAACTTTGGAATAGCCTTCCAGTCAGAGTTTGGGACTCAGACACAGCCTTAGTTTTGAAGTCCAGGCTAAAAACCTACGTAGTCAAGCCTTTGGTAATTAGATTTTCCTGTTACATAAGACATGCAGATCTAGGGGTTTATGGACATAGAGTATGCTGATGCTGGCGATTAATAAAGAACACTCGTTTGAAGCGCTGTGTTTCACACACCATCTTCTATGCTGACGCCACAGTGGTTTCAGAGGCGGGATCACCTCCTAGCGAACTGGAGGCAAGTGGTGAACCCAGTGTTGAGGAGGAGCATCACACGATAAGGCTTGATGGCAAAGCCAGGCTGGAGGACGACAGATGGAGAAACGCGGTTTAGTCAGTTGCCATTTCGGCTCTAGTTGTCCGACAGTCTGTTTTAAAGCTTGACCATGACCACTGCACCATGGGGCACTCTTTATTTTTTTTAGTGGAGCCTTTATCTAAGCTATAAAACGTGTCCAGGCATTCGGTCACAGCATCTAGCTTGGCTGGTTCAGATATCCATCCATCCATCCATCCATCCATCTACATACATATAATAAATTTGTAATTAGGTTACTGTCATTTTTTTCATCAGATGCCTTAATCCAAGGATCCTGATAAAAATTGCCTCTTCTGATTCTGAGGAAGTTCCTCGACTGGTGGGAGAAATACCACAGGCAATGGGAAAAGACTCCTCAGTCCGATGATAAATGTTTCTTATCGGCGGGAGAAAGTTCTGTGCTTGGCCAAGGGAAAGCCCCTCGGTCGACAAGGGCAAGCTCCTTAGTCAGTGTGGGGAAAGTTTCAAAAGCATACTCACAAACAATACAAAACAACAAGACTGGTGTGAAGAAGCAAGTTGCACAAATTTACAGAACTTGCCAGCTTTTCTTTCTTTGGAACTTCACGTCTGTAATGTTCTGTACCGCGACTGAAAAATGTTCTAGAAAGCAGAACTTTATATATATGTTTAAATATACAGCCTATGTAGGCTTCACCTACTCTGCTCCAGTGCCGTGCCAGCCAGATTTAAAACTAGAAATATTGCAGGGAAATCAGATTCGATCAACATCTAGATGCAGAAGCCACATTTGAAAAGGGTGAGTGTAAACATGTTGTTTTGACTTCATGATTTGATCACTACATTTAGATCATGGTAAACAAGGCCTGAGTGCTGAGATGGCATCTGTTTCTTGGTTCTCACCTCTTTGTCCATGCTTTCCAGGTCCTCCTTGCAGAGTGTGTAGAGTGGCATGGTTTCAGACATACTAGGCTGTCGTTTTCTGCGTGAGGGCTCAGGTTTCTCATCTTGATTCGAGCTATCCACCTCCTCCTGCTGCTGAGACCCCAGATTTGACCTAAACAAACAATCGATAATAACTTCCATCTGGCAAGACAATAAAACTATGCTATGCATGTGAGAATTCTATATTAAAGAAACAGTGTTTCTCCTCAATAAACATATTATTTCCAGTATCAGAAAGAAGCTGTAGTGCTGGGCTTCCACAAGGCGCTAGGCTTCTACAAATCACAAAGCTGTAATCAGCTTTAAACGGTCCTGAACAACCGCAAGCATAGAAGGAGATCAACAATATACTCAGGTCATTGTGTGAACTATGAATGAGCATTTTCAACATTTTTTTATCAAATATTTGTAGTTTTAAAACAGTAAGTTGCTGCATCAGAAGGACTTCAGAATTTCAAAAAGCAACGCTGCTACTGTCTAGTACTATAGAGGCATTAAGCACTTCATACACAATATATATAGGGATAGAGTTAATCTTCTGTTGAACATAGCCAACAAGAGCTGAAATCCCTAGTCATTTCCAGTACTGTACAAAATTGTTTGTTTATTATTATTATTATTATTACAGCTATTAATAACAAAAACAACAACAACAAGTGGAAAGTAAAAAGTCATAGGAACTAAATGAGGAAAAAAATACTTTCCAAAAGAACCCCTAACAACCGTGCAAGACCCGGTATATATTTTGTTCTTAAAGCATTCATCTTTGGGACATAGGAGAAAATCTCCACTCTTGCTTCAGAACAGAAAAAAATCCACTGGAGTTTCTGTAAACAGGTCTGCAAGAACATGTGTGATTGGTGATTGGTGTTGGAGAAAGACAGAATCTAACCTGCAGTGTGTTGAACCAATCTTCACAGTACTCTCCTTACCACTGTTAAGCCATTTTTGTTTTGTTTCTGTTTGAGGTTTAACATTTGTTGGGTGATAAAAAACTTGCTAGTTTATTTTCTGATTAATACATTTACAATGAAATCTGTTTTACTCTGCTACAAATCATCTGCTCAGTCAGTTCAGGGCTGTATCAACCCTTGGGAACGACTCCATCACTTGGAATTGGAATCATAGTCGAACCCCAAATTTTAGCCCAGGCACTACTGGAGACAGGAAAAGTTCAGCACAACTTACTTTAAGCCTTTTTGATATTAGTTGCTTCTCATGCTCAGACATATACCAGCAAGGACTAATTACTGAGGGATCATCGGGTAACATTCCAGACACAGTGGTCCAGATAAAAACACACTCCGTCTATGGAGTGGACTGCAAGGCAGCGTCCAGGAAGAACAAAGGAGGTGGTGGTTGTGATTTCATTAATAACACATTGCACAGGCATTCACATTGTACAAAAACCTCAAGCTTATCAACTCATCAGCAGCACTTGGACTACTTTAGGACACAATCAGCCCACAAGAATCAATGTAACCAAATGCTGTGTACATTGTGGCAGGTGATTTTAATCACTGCAGCAATTTAAGAACGGTTAAGAACGGAATTTGTGAAATTTTCTACTAGAGAGAATAAAACTCTGGACCATGTCTACTGCAGTGTTCAAGGCACTTAACAAGGCTATACCCTACTCCTACTTTGGACAGTAAGACCATATCTCCTTGTTTCTCTACTCAGCATACAGACCATGTCTGGCACCATTATGACTACGAAAAAAAACCTGATATGACCTACATAGATCCATTAAAAGACAATACAGACTTAAACTGGAGCACCACAACAACAACACTGACAAGAGACACATGTGGCAAGTACTGAAACAGCTCACAGATTATTATAACAAGCACAGAGGGGAGTTAGTAAGTTAAACCTATGTCCTGTGTTGGCTGTGCATTTCAACTTTATTCTTGGAAAAAATCATTCTGTATGTACAAAATCACAGGAGCACACGATACATTTTTCCATTTCGTGATGAATACGGATGTAAAACAGTTAGCTTTCTTCACTTTAAGGTGAACAGTTTGGTAACTAAATCATTCATTTGGGTTAGTAAAGTGCTTTTTTTATTTATAGCTTATGATCAGATTACAGAATTTTTGTTTTGAGGTGGTGAATAACCAAGGTATAGATAAACCTGTGTGCTATAGATAAACTTCTGGTGTGTACATGTTAGCAAGCAGAAGCTTATCTGGTTCTGCAAAAACAGTGCTGGATACTGTTTCACAGTCAAATTTCTAAAGTAATTTATCTCATACGCACGTCCTCACACAACTCGCGCTCTCTGCGTTGTAAAAAATCATCAGTTCAACCTAAAAAAAATTACTTCATGTGATAAGTAAAATTATTTGTTTTATTCAATTCAAAAAATTATTTTGGAAGAAAGAATCATTCACTCAAAGTATTTAGTTTGAATAAAACTAGTTAATTTACTTGTTACCACATGAAGTAATTTTTTAGGTTGAACTGATGAACCACTTTTTAGAGTGCAAGCGTCAGACACTGCTCAGGTTCAGTAAATATTACAGTTGTTTACTGTGTCAGTAGGACCAGTTCTCAGCATTTTTTTATTTTGTTGAAGCACCAGGCTGCAAGACTGCCAGCTGTCAGCTGCTTGACACAGCTGACCGACTGAGGCACACCGCAGGCGGGCAAGTGGTCAAACGAGTAGGGATAGCAGGCTGCTATGCTAAAGGCTATATTACCCCCAAGAAAGCAGTGGGTCCTTCCATCTCAAAATGTTTACTCCCTCAATAACAACCTGGACTAACATAAACTCAGACTGTAACTGACTACACCGCGAGATTTGATTACTGAAAAAAAGTCTGACAGCCATTTAGGTAAGGGGCTGCCGTTAGTGTTAGTTTTTTTTTTTTTTACTATTTTGGCGTTGTTAACCGGCTTATATTTGCCAAAATGGTGAAGCAAATACTTTAGAAAGAATTCCAAATGGTGTACCATCCGCTACCACTGTCTTTCCACGAAATACTGGTAATATAAATTTTGGCATGAGCACTTTGCTGATACCGTTACTGTGCTTAAGTGCCAGTATCATGCCAATATCGATATGGTTACAAAACAAATCTTTTAATTGTAGAAATTATTTGTAGAAAAAAACACTTTTAATTGTAGAAATACTTTAGCATGTAAGATATCATGTCTCATTGGTAATAATTCAAGACTTTTTCAAATTCACTGTAATTGTACTAACATGAAAATGTTCAACATGTGACTTTTACTATATTTAAAAAATAAATTGAAATGCTTTTGGCACATGTTGGTAATCCTCGTTAATGAATGAGCAAACCACAATGCTGTTTGTTATCCTCCAAAAGTGGAGTGACAAAACTTGTTTTTAAAAAAAAAAAAGAAGAAAAATGAAAAAAAAAACTTGCTAACATCTCTGAAGAACAACAGGATGTTTTCATATGAAGAAATTTGTGATTTTTGTGATAGTGCCTTTTTCATTTGGTTCTGTGGGTTTCACACTGCAACTAACATTCACGTGTATAATCTGGCTAAAGTGGACCAGACTGCACACATTTTCATTATTTATACAGTAAATGTTTCCATTGTACATGCACGACCCAACAAGGTAAAAATATACACTTAATTTTAACATCTTTCAAAAAAGACTGTTTCCTGTAAAATGTGTAAAACTGAGCTCACCTAGCTCAGCAGCACAAGCGTCTTGCGATTGAGAGAACACAAATGGCAGCAGCTCACCATGATAACTAAGATATAGGTACTATAGTGAAAAAAACAACACACATTTTCCACGTTTGCGTGAACAAGTAAAATGTACACTATAAGGACAAAAATTATTGGGACAACCCATCCTATAATTGAGTTCAGGTGTTTCAGCCACAGCCATTGCTCTCATGAGGATAAAATTAAGCACATAGCCTTGCCGTTTTGATAGACAAACGCTGAAAGTAGAATGGGTCATACCGATGAGCTTAGTGACTTTAAACATGGCACTGACATGCCACCTTAGTGACTTTAAACATGGCACTGACATGGCAATGTCATAGCACAAGATGCCACCTCTGCCACAAGTCAAGTTTGTGAAATTTCTGTCCTGCTAGATCTGCCCCAGTCAACTTTCAGTGCTATTATTGTGAAATGGAAGCACACAACAGCAATGGAACAAAGAAAGATCCACAACAGCACAGTCACGAAGCGGTAGACCATGCAAACTCACAGAAAGGGGCGGCCAAGTGCTGAAGCATACAGTGCCTATTCTTTGATGAATCACTGACTAGAGAGTTCCCTTTTGTTGCCTTTGGAAACAACATCAACAAAATAACTACATGTTAGGAGCTTCACAAAATGGGTTTTCATGGCTGAGCAGCTACACACAAGCCTAAAATGAAAATGCACAATGCCAAGTGTCAGGGGGAGTGGTGTAAAGCACGCTACCACCAAACTCTAGAGCAGTGGAAACGTATTCTGTGGAGTGACAAATCATGCTTTTCTCTCTGACAGTATGATGGACGAGTCTGGGTTTGGCAAATGCCATGAGAACGTTACCTGCCTGACTGCATTGTGCAAACTGTGAAGTTTGGTGGAGGAGCGATATTGCTATGGGGTTGTTTTTCAGAAGCTGGCCTAGGCCCCTTAGTTCCAATGAAGGGAAATCTTAATGCATCAGCTTAACAAGACATTTTGGACATTTGTATGTTTCCAAATTTGTGGGAATAGTTTGGGGAAGGCCCTTTTCTGATCCATTATGAATGTGCCCCAGTGCACATAGCAAGGTTCATAAAGACATGGTTTGGTGAGTTTGGTGTGGAAGAACTTGACTGGCCCACACAGAGCCCTGACCTCCTCAACCCCATCAAACATTACTGACATAGAACAGACATTGCGAGCCAGACTCTATCATCCAACATCGGTGTCTGACCTCACAAATGCTTTTCTAGATTAATGTGCAAAAGTTCCCACAGACACACTACAAAATCTTATAGAAAGCCTTCCCAGAACAGTGGAAGCTGTTATAGCTGCAACTAGGGGGACCAACTCCATATTAATGCCTATGGATTTAGAATAGAATGTCATAAAAGCTCCTGTAGGTGTAATGTGTAGGTGTCCCAATACTTTTGTCCATATAATTTAGCTTTAATGTTCATGCATGTGGTCAGTGTTGTTTTGCTGTTTATCAAGTGTAATTAACAGTTTTAAATTCATTAATTTAGCTTTGCTTCAAAACTAAAGGATCCATAACTTCAACTGAAATGGAACTTGAACCCATTGTACAAACATTTTTGATTGGCATGTCTTAGGCTTCCAAGAAAAAAAAATTATGAAAAGCTATTTATATGAGCAGTATGTTTTTTTTGTTTTTTTTTTATCAACATAATTACAGGTACAGATATCAAGTCCTCATTCAAACAGTGCTGATAGATAAAGGTGATATAATTCATCAAGCGACACTTTGGAATCAACATTTTTGTCATCCTTTACATAAATGAAATAAAAAAAAAATGCAATTCTCAATGTGGAAAAAGTAAGCACAGCCCTACATATTTCACTACTTTAAATGTGTCAAACTGAAATTATGTGCACCCGATAAGGTGCTAATGATTAGAACAACATTAGAGAATATCTTGGAGGAACTTGTCCTACAGTGCCCTCCACAAATATTGGCAGCCCTGGTAAACATGAGCAAAACAGGCTGTAAAAATCATTCTATATTGCTTATCCCTTTGATCTTTCATTCAAAATATTAACACAAATCTAACCTTTTTTTTGAAGCAAAATGGTTGGGGAAAAAAACACAATCTTATCAGGAAATAACTACTCTTCTCAATTTGTGTGCCACAATTATTGGCATGACTTCATTTAATACTTTGTGAAGTCTCCTTGTGCAAAGATAACAGCTCTAAGCTCATCCCACAGGTTTTCTATGGGATTTAGGTCAGGGCACAACCTTAATTCTGTGTTTGGCAAACCATTTTTGTGTTTTTGAGGCAAGCTTGGGATAACTGTCCTGCTGGAACTATGGTCCAGTTTAAGCTTCCTGGCTAAGGTCAGGTTTTGATATTATTTCTGCTAGTATTTGTTGGAGAATTTTCCAGGGCCTTTGGAAGAAAAACAGCCCCACAATATCACAGATCCACCACCATACTTCACAGTAGGGATGGCATACTTTTCTGCATGGCTATCTCTGCATCCAAGTCAAACTCACCTCTGGTGTTTGCTGCCAAGAACCTCTATTTCGGTCTCATCTGGCCATAGAACACAGTCCCACTGAAAGTTCCAGTAACATTTATCATGAGCTTGGGTTAGTTGGTCCTTGACAGCAGAGGCTTTCTTCTGGCAATACCACCAAACAACTTGTGGTTATATAGCTGGTGTTTGATTGTAGTTTGGGAGACATTGTGACCCCAAGACCTAACTCATTTTTGCAATTCTCAAATACTTCTATTTACTTCTATAATACTTCTATTAAATACTTATTTACTGAACTGTATAATTTCAAAAACCTTCGGTTTTACATTTGAATTTACTTTTGTATTTTAGAATAATATTAAATTATCGCCGTTAAAGTGAAGTAAAGCTTATTCTTTAAACATTTCCCTGGCTGGAAACAAAAAGTTATCACAAAATTTTGGCTGAAGAGAAAAGCCCTTACCATAAATCTGTTCATAGATATTATTAACTCTCTGCTCCAAATGGAGATGACCTTTTCACTGCATTTTCAGAAAGAAAAGAGCAGAAAATACTAGGGAAAGTGGACTATGTATGTAGCCCATAGCTCATAAACAGTATAAATCAGTTGACCTCATGTTTGTTATTACTGTTTTTGTTCCAAAAATTGCAAGAAAAAAAAACAAAAAACAAAAAAAAATTAAGGAATCTTGAGACATCTCTATGTGTAAAGGACAAGACCAAAAACCACAACTGACTACCCATTGTCAATCCCTCAAACAACATGGCAGTCAAAACCAGCATGCTTCTGTGATGGATAAACAATGTCAATAAACACCGACCGTTGCCGCAACCACAAATACAAATTAAGACTGTACTATGCACAATAGAACTCATATGTTAACAGCACCCAGAAACTCTGCTGACTTCTCTGGACTTGACCTCATTTCATATTCTACTTTCAAAGCTAGAACAGTTGGTTTCCTCAGTCCCCAAATGATTAAGTGTTGCTAAAAGAAAATGTGATGTAACAGAGCTAAACATCTTGTCCCAACTTTTTTGGAATGGGTTGCAGGCATCAAATTTGGAATTAATGTATATTTATAAAAAACAATGAAAATATTGTGTTTTTGTAATGTTTTTGTACTGTTTTCAATTTAATACAGGTCAAACAGAATTTACTAAACCATTTACTAACCATCTTTTTTGGAATTTGTAGTTCTGGAGTTTGTAGTTTTGGAGTTTGTATTATTAGGGTCTTACTGTTACCCCAACAATCACTGACAAATCAACGTCTTCATCAGATTCAAAAATGACTAAAGAATCTGAAAAACTGTCACCGACGAGGATCACAGTCAGGAGAACATAAAATAATGGGCATTCTGTTGCAAACACATACAAGCAGCTGTTTATCAGGACACATCTACAATCAACAGTGAGACAATAAACATTCTGTCGTATATAACTGAGTGCTGTTATTCTTGAAACTATAAGAAGAACATAGATAGATTCAGAAGAAATAGCATACTATTGTAAATAAATGACAATAAGTAGGAGAACAATAAAGAAAATAATGTTAAAAAAAAAAACATCCAGACAGTGATAGTAATCTGATATCACAACAACCTTCCCTATTGACCATCAGTGAAGTCACACAGCACAATGTCAAATTTCAGAAGAGAAATCGGGCATTGTGGTCAAATCTACAGTCAAAGAAATGTGTTTTTTAGTGTAACGCACAAATATCTCAGTACTAAAAATAATATGAAATCTTCAGGGAGGTCCTTGTGCTACTTTGGTTTTAAGGGATCTAGTCGATGTTTCAGTTGAATGATTTTTTTAAATTATTTCTAGAAACTTTCTACTTATCTTTGCTTTTAAAAACATAATTTCAATATTTCTTACATATTATTTTCCTGTTCCTTGGTTTTCAGAGCTGACTGTAAATGCTGACTAAGGAAGTTTGCACATGCAGTTGTATTAAACCTAAACTTTACTAAAAATGTCCAGAGGCCCCTCAAATAATACTCAATAACATGACATTTTGCAATTAGTTAACCCTTAAATTTCTGAATTATTATCTAGTTGCTAATCCTAGGACTACACAGGATGAATGTGCCTGAAAATCTGAAAACTTGTGCAAAACATATGTCTTATTCATCCCATTTTGTTGGCTGTCCCATTTTATTGTACTTTTGGTTTAAATACAACATTGCTACTTACAAAAAACTCATTTTAATTTTGTATAGTTGTTTTGATCTTGCACTTGTTAGATAAGGTCTGGAAACATTTTCTCTTCACCTTGTAAGCATACACCTTCTATTAGCCTCTTTCCAGAGAATTGGTCTGAAAATGGTAATGATATTTGCCATAATTTATGCATCATAATATAAATGGCTGCCACAGCTTTCAATAAGTTCTGCTTTATTGCTTTCAAGAGTAATGTGCGGACGGGGTCTAACAGAAAATCTAATTTTACCAAAGAAAAGGGCCAGAACACTACATAATCTGAAGCACATTACACCCCTCTGGCACTACATCAATCCGCCTTCACTGTAAACCTGTCAAAATGACAACAGCAGCCATACAAGCACACAGGGATAGGCCATAAACCTAGACCCCATAGAGAAGAAAATTACCTAAGGTTTGAGTGCACTTCTTGTCCAGGTAGAGTTCTGTGGGGCTGCAGGTAGGAAGATTGTCGGGGTGCCTGAGGACCCCTCCGGATCAATTTGCCAGTTACAGGATCATACGTGCGGACCTCAGGGACCAATGGGCATTTGGGCTGAACAGGAGTGGGGTGAATTACAGCTGTTGACAAAGACTCCTGAACGTCAGGAAATGCCGATGGACTGTTACTCCTAAAAGGCAGATAACTTTGTGAGAAGACAAAATAAGCCCCAAAAACTAACAAATTCAGGGATGTAGGAGAGAAGTGTATCACTGCCAAAAACATATCCACATACACCCACACACACACCCACTCACACACACACAAAACAAAGCTGTATTAACATATCAAAGACAACAGAAACTAAAGATAAAAAAGCAAATTGTGTTAAGTCAGAGGATGAATGTACAGAAATGTACAGAATGAAAAAAAAAAAATCACAGTGAGAGACCTCTGTGATTTAATGTAGCCCTCCTTGAGTGGAAAAAGCTGCTCCTCCACTCTCTCCCAGCGCTCCAGGCATCTCCAAAGCCAATCAGGATTCACCACATGCAGGTGTTTACAGCCTTGGGCCTGGCGCACTTTCTCTGTGCCTTAGAGAGCAATAACATACACAAATAAAACTTTACGTTGGTATGAAACTATGTAAATTTTGATAAATACATACACCCACTGATTAATATTTACTGTATTTTACATAAAGATGTTTCAAGTTACTTTAAGCAAATTTGTAACTCCTTATAAAACCTTTACCAACTGTGATACCTTACCCAAAAGTTAATACAATTTTAAAGTTTTAAAAGGCTATATAATGATACAAGGCGCATACCACACATCTCAGTGAAGAACATTAAATATTTTTTTTCTTCTGGCTCTGCTACTGCCTTCATACATGTCCCTACACTGGCCACTGGCACATGAACCCTTCTTTAAATTTGTGGATTCAGATATATCTGCCAAGCCCATCATTAACATGCATAAAATCAAACATACAACCACTCAAACAAACAGTGTCAGTAGAAGAGGTTGTAGAAAATTTTTGATCTTGCCATGGAAAGATTCAGGAGACTGGGGTTTGCAGAAATTATGATGGTTTTATTAAAAAGAGAGCGCTCAGTATACCTGCCTTAGTCTCACCCCCAACCTAAACAGCAGCTCAGACACACAGCTTGAATCCTGTTGTAAATACCTTACTGAGTTCTGCCCCAGGACATCCTCTTTAGGGGGTGTTGTAAGGCCATTTGGTGTAATTTAGGGGGTGTTGTAAGGCCATTTGGTGTAAAATGGGGGTGACTTCTTAAACCCTTCAGCATTAATACTGTTTAACAATGAATAACAATAAAAAAAAGGAAAATAAACAGAAAACTAGAAAACACATCAAAATAAAACAATTCCCAACAAGGTCTTACCAAAGCTCAGTGACTTTCAATATGGTACTGACAGAGGATGCCACCTCGTCAAATTACTGATAGAACTGCCCTGTGCTGCAATGTTGTTATTGAGAAGTGGAAATGCTTAGGAGCAATAACAGCCCAGTAGCAAAGCAGTAGACCACAGAACAGGACTACAAAGTTGTCTTTAGAAACCATGTCAGTACAGGAACAGTTTGTCAGGACCATCTTGGACTGGGCTTCCATTGCCAAGCAGCAGCACACAAGCCTAAGATCACCATGTTTGCCAGGCGCTGATTAGATTAGATATTGTAATCAATAACCAAATAGGTAGTATTGGCTAACAGAGAATATTAATTCTCTCACAAAGGGTAGGCCTTAGTCTGTCTGCATAGGAAACATACTGGAAAGCCCCTGGGTTCAGCATCTGAAGACTCTTTCCTTATTGACATCTTTTGAGAATTTAGACTTAGAACAGTTATTGGTGAAAGTGTTTAGCCAGTATTAAAAGATTTCTTTTTTTATTCATAATATTATGTTGGAAGCTTGGGGTTGAACGGGATAGCCCAACACTCCCTCTTTCAGATGATATGAAAAGCACATTTAACACATTTTGATCTACTGATTTGGTTCAGGACCAATACGATTTCAGTCAGGTCTGATCTAATGTGCTTCAGTTCAGTAAAATTAAACATGAACTGATTTGTCTTTGAACCTGTACAGAGGAACATTTTAAAAACTTTTCTTCACAGTCTACATTTTGTCTATGCATTTTTAACATATTCTCTCTGCATTACATCAGTCTGTACTGCAGTAATTAATTAAAAACAAAAAACTGTATGATTTACCACTCCAACTCAACCTCCCTAGACAACTCCACATTAATGCACATGGTTTAAGAATACATACATATATATACATATATATATATATATATATATATATATATATATACACATATAATATATATATATATATATATATATATATATATATATATATATATATATATATATATATATATATATTATTTATTTATTATTGTGTGTGTGTGTGTGTGTATATATATATATATATATATATATATATATATATATACACAAACACACACCACACACCATATACTGTATTATTTACTTGAAGAATATAACATTTGAAATTTTCCCCAAATTTCCTTGTAGAATGTTTCTAGCTCAGAAATATTCATAGGTAGTTTTGCATGCACATCATTGATTCCAAACTGCTTCTGGTTGTGTTGTGTTGCATGTTTCAGATGTTGAAGTACACAGCCCTTGGGAGCTCCAGTGTTTTGGGCGATCAAACGCATTCTGAATTCTGATTGAGCATTTAGAAGTAAGGAAGAAAGTACCTGAAAGTTACTTTAAAAAGCACTACATTGACACAGAAACAGTTGAGAAATTTAATAGAACAGATTTTAAAGTTCTGCTACTAGTTTTTAAGGCTCTAAACTGACCTAGCACCTGCATACATCACAGAGTGTCTGTCTGTATATGTTCCAGCACAGTACTGCTACCGTCACACCTTGCTTGCAGGTGAGGGTAGATATGCTCCGACAAGGTTGTGGGTTGTAAGAAAGAGCGATGGCAAACCACAATAGCACATTCAGTGCAAGATAAAAGGTGTGGGGGGGAAAAAAAACAATGTTGAAAAAAAAAAAAGTCAAAAATATAGCCGCAAGCGGCAATGAGCGGGTTCAAGAGGGCAACAGCAGTATGAGCCCTTCTGCCTCAAGCTGTTTGGGCCTTATTTATAGGCAGAGTGAAGAGAACTGAAAGGATGTCAGTTCATCAAAAGGCCTTCAGTTGCCATAAACAATGAGCAGACGTCTTTAAACATAATACAGATTTGCACTGATATGTACTGATCTACACTGGTTTGTAGAACATCCAAGAGGTTGTCAACACAGATGTCAAAACTACATGACTAATGGCAGCATTTTTCACATAGTTGCTGAAAAGTGGTTTGGTTCTACATATTTAACCCTTTGATTTGATGTATGCCATAATGAGGCCCAATGCACTCATAAGGGGCCCTATTGGTGTATAGGAGCTAAGGGAAAGTGGGTTAGAATTTGTCAAAAGACCTCAATATGATAAGAGTATTGATCAAGGACCATAACCAAAGATGTTCACCAAGTTTTGATCAGACTGACCTTTTGACCTTTGTATAAGACGTCTTTGTATAATGTAGTCTTTGACTGAATAAGCCAAAATACCAGACAAGTCCAACTTCTGACATAACATGTAATTACAAAGTTATTCACGAGTGAACCGAGTCACATGGCACAAATTGTTTATCTGTCGACCTTGTAATAACATTGTAATAGCATGTTTAATGATTTTTAAGTGTTTTTCAGTGCTGAAGTGCCCCCTAAAGGCCAATCTGGACCAAAATTAGGAAAACCCATTAGAGCCTCAATATATACAAATACTTAAAGTTTTGAGATGATCTGACCAATGAGTGATGAGTTATAGCAAATTAAGCTAGCAATGCCATGGCCGCAGTGATGAATGGATAGAGCAATACCATGGTGAATGAAAAAGTCAACATTTTTTTGATAATTATTTATCTAGAGAGGCCAGAGATTATTTCTAGACCAATTTCAAAAAGTTTGAATCAAAATCCAGAGACTATTTCGAAAAGTATGGTTTTCAAACAGTTATTGATTACAAAAGCACTATGCATTTTTGTAACAAATATACAATTAGAAAAATTGTTTGGGACACTACTACATTAGATTCATATAGGTTTTGGGTCAAACTTGTAATAATATAGTAATAACATGTAATAATTCATTAATTTTCATGAATAGCACCCCCCCCAGTGGTCAAATCTTTTGAAACTTCACTGGTTGTTAGAAAGTGGCCACATATAGACACCATTCAAGTGTCATGATGATTAGTAAATGTTAAGCCGGTCAAAAGTTTGCTAAATGCTGATTGGAAGATGGCAACCATAAATTTCAACGTATCAAATTGTCCTTAGAGATTCACTTATTTCTGTCTAACAGATGATGTGGGCAAAGTTTCAGCTTGATCGGATGTATGGATGCTGAGAAACAGCTATGTAGCATTAACTCCGCCCCCTAATAACATATGCGCACAAAAATCGATACGCTACCTCAGAATCCTCTACTGAATAGGCCTGTTTGTGAATTTTAAATTAATTGTGAATTATTTGAATTTTTCCAGAAGGATTAATTAGCATATGGCAGCCATATTGTTTGCAAAATTCAAATTTTTTTTGATAATTATTGAGGTTCAGGTTCTTCTGAATTTTATGACACCAATTACATGAGGATCAGGCGAAAACTGTAGGACTAGTTCGCAAAGGTAGGTTTTGCATATTTGGCAGTTTTGCAAAAAATCTAAGTAGGCGGAGGTCCAAATTGCAAAGTTGTTTGTTTGGACTCATGGAATCAGGAAAAAAAATAATTTTGTCCGGAAAAATTGTGGTTTAGGAGTTATTAGGCAAAACAAATTTTTCTGCGCTGTAGTGCCACCTTTTGGGAACCGATTGGGCTCATGTCAAGCGCCTGAGTAACGGGAGGGACTACTATCTATTGACCAAGTTTCATGTCTCTAGGACCTAACGGTTTGGTCTGTGTGATTCATTTTAGGGAAGAAAAATAATAAGAAAAACTCTGACATTTCCAATGCACTGAGTGCTTAAACCCTAACAAAAACAAAGCAACAAAAAAAAAAGTGTTTACAGAATATACTTGAATATATTAATGAACTATGAGGAAGCAATGTTTTGTCTACCCAACACAGCACATATCAGTCCTTCTCCTCTGCAGGGGGGACAATCATGACCATCGACAATAAGTGAAAAATTAAACAGAATCCAAGAAAAGCTTGTTCAAAAATGGATACTTGAATTATAACAAGCTAAAAACCCACAGAATAAACAAGATCAAATTAAATAAAAAAAAAATAAATAAAAAAAATAAAAAAATAAAATATATATATATATATATATATATATATATATATATATATATATATATATATATACAAACCCCATGAACCCCCCTCCAAATTAATCACTCCAATAGGGTTCTACTGAGCATGTCTGAATTTGCCCGGGCATTTTCCCAGACCAGGAAGTAGCCTGTGTAAGTATTGTAAGTTATAAACCAGCTGCTAGTATAATGATATGAAGCCCAGTAGCATACTTCA